TATACTAGAAAAATAACGTGAATTATTTTGCTAACAGCACATTCACTTTGAAACTGCCTGTCTGATGCTTCTCAGAAGAAAATTATTTGCTTCCTAAAGCTACATTCTGGGACATTAGTTAAGAGTCCTGCAATTTGACTCTTTCTGCATCTTGCATGTGTTAACCAGATTGTGTCAAAAAGGCTGATAATTCATTTTGGAGTTTTTTATTGCTATGTGCTGCCTTCTGTGAGAGATGAAGGATTCTATCTGAATGCTGTGTCAGATGAAAATATCTGTATTTTGTGGACTTCAGAGCACAGTCTTTCAAGAAATATGAAGGTTATTGGATATAGTCCAGAGGATAGCAGAAAGAATGATAAGAGGTGTAGAAAACACAGCATACGAACAAAGTCTTTCAGTCTTCAAGTTTAGTTGTTTAGTCTAAAGAAGAAAAAACTGAAAGGAAATTCATAATAGCCTTCTACTGTGTACAACTTTTCTGTAAAGAAGGAGAAAAACATTCCTCATGTCCACTGGGAGCAAAGCAAAAACTAGTAGGTTTAAATTACAACACAGGAGATTTAGGTGAGACATTATGGAAAAAAGCCCTTTCCACTGTAAGGATAGTTAAGCACAAGAATTGCCTAGGGAAGTTATGAAGAGGTTAGACAAACATATGTCAGAAATGATTTAGGTATAGCTAAACCTGCTGTGAGATAATGTTGGACTAAATAACCTTTTGAGGTCCCTTCTAGCACTATTTTCTGTGATTCTGTGATTAGGATACTGTACTCACATTGTCCTGCCATGAGATGTTTCATTACAGGGAATGATATCACTGTATTCTGCACTGTATGCTTTGCTTTGTTTTTACTATAAGCTGATGGGATGAACAATAGTCTGATATTTAAAGCTCTTTAGCCTTATTCTTAGTGCCTCAGGAGCTTTGAGCAGGGCATTAGGGGCTCATCTTCAACCAGACAGCCCTGTTCTGGTTTTGCACTACCCCTGTGTCAATAAGGGGCTTTGGTACACACCTTGGATTTAGGGACTTTTACTGTCTTTTAACTTGCAATCTAACAATTAATTGGCTAAATGCTCTGTTTCTGCTTATAAGCAAAATGCAAACAGAAAATAAAAATGTTAAAAAATCATGAAAAGAAATGTATCATAGCTTCCCCATTAGTAAAACCAAAATAAAACCAGGCATGTTCTAAAGCTGAATAGAACTCAAGTTGTGAAACATCCTGGAACTGACAGATGGAGAATGATAATAAAGTGTCAGATATTATCATTACCTCATCACAGAGACCATTGAAGACATCAGTTTAAGACTGTCCTTATCCTCTGTAACACTCAAAACTCTCTAACTTTGTTCTTCTATTTGGCATTCTGCCATCCGACAGGATTTCGGTTCAGCTTTGCATTCGGCAGGAGTGTGTTCACAGTATTGCCTCTGCATACTGAATATGGCTCCAGCACAGCCACACAGCAGTGGGCTTTGTAAAACTCCATCTGGAGGAGCAAGGAATGTGAGGTTTCAGATTTTGAAGTAGTTTAGAAGAAATTGGTCATACATTTTTACAGAGTGTGTGTCTGATTAGTGTTACTATTCTGCAGAGATGAGGTTGTCACAGCATCTGTGACAGGGACACACCATTATGCCACAGCAGTGACCCAAGTGTGTAGTTTTCATGGCTGAGTGTGTTCTTGAACCTACAGAGGAGATGGGACAGTTCTTGGTTTAGTTGATCCTTTAGGAACATGAAAGTTCATGTTTTCCACGGTGTGATCTCACAACTTTTTACATTTATGTGATTAGTTGCCCATTCTTACTGAAGGAATGAGCAGTTTCCATTTTCTTAGACAATCCCACTTTTTCACCAGGTAGAGACAGGATGGGAGAAAGCAGGCTCTGCAGTGCATGGTAAAGAGGTGAGCCAGAAGCCTCAGCAGCAGATGTGAATCTCGTCTGTGGATCCTGAGTGCCACAGCTCTGTGAGATGGACTTAGACTGGCTTGTTCTCTGCAGGCAGGTCCCTTAGGTGGGGGTTTCTGGCTTAGCATCTGAAAGAGAAAATGTACTGTTAAACAAGCTTATTTGCTGTTTACATCTGGTTTTCTGAAGGTAGCCTGGTATTCATCTGATTTAAAAATTCAGGAGGGAAGCTGAATTCATGTGAAAAGAAAAATACTGGGTTTTTACTCCACCACTTCATTTACAGTCCTCAGAATTTCCCTGGTGAAGGGTTCTCTTGCAAATATATATACACATGTATTTTGTATGAGGATACATTCAGTACTGTTCAGTTGTTATATTATCTGAAAACACAGCCCATGTTCAGTACTGGAGCTAAAATTGTATCGCAGACTGTTTAAAAATATATGTTGTTTAAAGAAGACAAATACAGAATGTTCTGTATTATCTATCTGATATTTGAAGCTCTTAAAGGAGAGACCTTTTTGAATAACAGCAGAATCAGAGAATCACAGAATGTGTCAGGTTGGAAGGGACCACAGTGGGTCATCTGGTCCAGGCTTCCTGCTAAGGCAGGGTCATCCCAGAGTACATGGCACAGGATTGCGTCCAGATGGTTCTTGAGTATCTCCAGTGAGGGAGACTCCACAACCTCTCTGGGCAATCTGTTCCAGTGCACAGTCACCCACTCACTCTCACAATAAAGTTCTTCCACATACTCAGGTAGAACTTCCTGTGCATCAGTTAAAACAATTGTATCACATTTTATTTGAGGGAAAGTAATTAAAATGGTAGCCCTTGCTCTGCTTTTAGAGATAGATAGGAATTTCATATAGTGATTGTTGCATTTCTAGAATTCATAAAATTATTAGGATGCCTACCCTTCCTAAAAAGCAGTCAAGCCTTTCCAGCCTTTCCTGGAAGGGTTTATTCTGCACCATGAGATGCTGCCCCATGAACACCCGAGGGCTCAGCCCCTGCAGGGTGAAGGGTGCCTGGGGAGGGCACACACCCTCACTGAGTGTGGCAGACAGGGTGAAGGGAGGGCTTTGGGGAGGGTTTTGCCTCCCTGTGCCCAGCATATGAGGGACTGTGTGAGTTCCCATCCCATTACTGTTTGCCCCATGCTGGCCAAGAGGACCTGGAGACCCCCCAATGCTGCTCCTCTTTCCTCAGCTGCTGCCCAGCTCAACAGCTGGATCCAGAGGAAAATGTCTGAGCAGCAGTTACAGCTTCATGGGCACAACTGTCTTGATACAGATTGTCTGCTGGAGGCAGAGATAATGATAATAACTTTCAAGGCTAATATGCTTGGCTGATACTGGAGGGAAGGGACCAAGAAATCAGTAGTAATTTAAAAATATAAATGTCTACCAGGATTCAGATTTCAGCCTTCAATTGATTTCATCCACTGTGCTCTCTGTGCTCATCTCCTCCGGTGCTTTAGTCATTAAATGAACTTTGAAAACAAGTTTGTATCGATAACTCTTTTTTATCTAAATCTATTAATTTCTAAAATAACATAAATACAGGTATAATTGTGATGTCACATTGTCAGAAGCCAATTCTCTTTCAGAGACACAAGTACATGTAAACTGGTAAGTATGCCATAACTAATGGTATTATTAGCTTGATTTACTGCCTACCTACCAATCACCTCTATGAAAATCAATCCCCAAGCTCATAAAATAACTCCCAAAAATTGATACATTTTTATACTGTCAATAATAAGAGAAAAGATGCAGTTCTGGGTTTATCTTTACATTTTCCTATGTGTTACTGGTTGAAAGGTATCTTACAGATTGCCGTGATATGTGGGAGTGTGTATATGAGCAAGAGATAGGTTATAGAAGTCATGAGCTATAAAAAGATTTTTAAAAAAATAAAATCTGAGTGGTCTTTAGACAATTCAGATGACATGTCTAACAAAGACTGTCAATAGAATAAATGTGACTATGTTAATATATTGAACCACTAACACATGTCCTTATCATAATGGAACTTACACAATGGTAGCTTCTGTCAGATTCTACTTTATACATACACACATGTTTGTCTGATGCACAGAAAGACAACCATATCTATTTCATTTCAGCTCTGAATTGATACTTCCATTTTAAATCACCCACAGAACATCTTAGTTTAAATCTGAGCTTCTCTCTGATACTCTTTGCTATTTGTCGTGTTTCTGTATAAGTATACTGAAAAGAGGTTACAGGCAATCTGCTGAGGTCTGTGTGTATGGTGCATTTGACCTCTGGACAAGAAAGGAGCTTCATCCTCCAGTGCTTTTAATTCTTATCCTTGCAGAGGCTGAATCTGTTGCTTGCATTCAAATAGTATGTCTCGTTAATGCTAAGAAGCAGTGACCCACATAGCACAATGGATTCATTTGTCAATCCTGCGATTTCTGAGCTTTCCATTCATATATGTCTTAGCAGTAAATCGACTCAGAAATCATTTAATCAGTCTATCAATGTATCCTTCTTGTCAATGGTCTGAATCCTGAAAAGTCCAGTTTCTCATTGGGCAGCACCAGGTAAAATAGATTTGGACCTAATACTAGATATTCAGACTCTGAAAATTCCCTGCAGGTCCCAAATCTCAACTCAAAACCACCAAAATCCTAAGTTTAAAAAGCAGGATCTGGAAGTTACCTTGAATTTTGAGGACGTTATTGTTCTGGTCTAGGTCTGAACTTCAGAGTGCAAAGCTGTCCCTGTTTGTTAGCATTTCAGAAATACTCTACACATAGTTACAGCAAGCAGTGCCCTTTTGTTCCCCCATGAAAAAAACTGAGCTTTCATTGCTTTTATTTTGCTATTTCCAAGGGCTGAGGCTAGAGCCTGAATTCTTTATAACAGTCAGTGTTTTGTAAATGTCAATCATATCCTTATATGTTTATTTTCAGTATTTACATGTTTATTTAAGTACTTACCATTTCCTTTAAGCCTTACATAGCCAATCAGGCCAATCGAGGTCTAAAGGAACAGAACACTTTATTAGTGATATGCTTAATACAGTTTTTTTCCTCTTGTAGATGCAAGATTTACGGAATACAGAAGGAGCCCAGTATAGTTCCCATCCTCAGATGGCAACCATGAGGCCAAGGGTTCAACCTGCAGATATTAGGCAGCCAGGAATGATGCAGCACGGGCAGCTGACTACTATTAACCAGTCCCAGCTCAGTGCACAGCTTGGTTTGAATATGGGTGGAAACAGTGTTCCTCACAACTCGCCCTCTCCACCTGGAAGCAAATCTGCAACTCCTTCACCATCCAGTTCAGTCCATGAAGATGAAGGAGAAGATAGCTCTAAGGTAGGCTTAGATGCTAGGATTACTATGTAAATGGTGGATATTTTTAGGACCTGCTAAATGAATGATATAGCCACAGTTATTAAGGTGATACTTTATACATGATTGGTGGTTCACTGAAGTGAATAAAGGGTTATGAATACAGAACTTACAATATCCAGACAATTCTTCAGGGAGCTTGAGTAAATTGCATCATTCCTCTTTGTGGGAGCAAACTGGAATACTGTTGAACACTGAAAGGATAGTCATTCCTTTAGGACTTTAATATAAGGGTTGAGTTTTCTCCCTTGCATAGCAGGGATGTTTGTTCCCAGTTAAAGATCAAGTTACTGCTATAAAAAGTATGAACAGTCTGTGCAATATGCTAGTCTTTGCTACTTGGTCACAGGATGAGTAAACAGAACATCATAGCAACCAGAACAGAAAGATCCTATGAACTTTAAAAACCTTACCTTGAAAATCTGGAAGACCCTGTATGCGTTCATACTTTTGAGAGGTGCTGACACTTCATCATGACATGTTTAAGCTTCGTTTTCATGTCAGTGCAGGAATGAAGTGATAAGAGAAATTTACATAATAAATTTCTTTAAAGGATAAATGTCAATCTATATAGCAGGTTTTGCATACAAAAATCTCCCAAATCTCCCAAAATCCTGAAAACCTCCAAGAAATACACAAGTCTATTATCTTAATTTTGCAGACAGAAAAGCTGAGACATGGGAAGATTGGGACTTTGTACCAAGTCATCCCTTAAACCAGGAATATAGTATGTTGAAAGTGGGGACCTCCTTAGCTCTGTTTTGTGGTCACTAGAAAAAGGCAGTCCTGTTAGAGCACTCCTGCAGTGCAGTTTGTGCCACATGCAGTGCAGTGTGTACCACAGACATGTCTGGTGGGGAAAAGTTGCAGACTTGCAGGGAATGAGAAGAAAACATATTGTGAGTCACTGAGGAGGTATAATCCAGTCAAGAAATGTGAGTCTGATTTGTTTTAAAATTATATTGTTTTTCATGCCTCGAGCTATAAAATAATCATGTAATTGGAGACATATGTTTTACTACATTTTTAATAAATTCTGATTCAAAAGTTTTATTTCAGGACATTCCTCTTATTTCAAAAACTTTAGGTTTTAAAAATTACTGAATAATTCATACATTTTAAATGAGCACTTCCTTACTGAGGGAGACTTTAGACTACAGCTATGTAAAAATAATTCCAGGCAGCCTTTACTTTTTCAGAATAATTTATTTGCTACTCCTCTTGCATTGCTAATATTTTTACATTTCTGGGAGTGTGCAAGATGCTCTAAACTTCTGAAGAAAATATCCATTCAAATAGTTTGGATTTCCTTTCTACTTCTATCAAGTATTTCAGTTATTTAATCTGTATTTTTCACATACCTTTTCACTGTAGCACTTTGTGCTAACAAAAGTGTAGGGCTGTGGTTTAAAGCAAGTAGTAGTTATCTGAAGCTACTGTTTTTAATAGAGAAATACAAAGCACTGCAGACTAAGTAAAATTGGTATTTTCTTTATGAAAACCAGTTTATGTAGCATTCAACTTTTAATAAGGATGTTGCTCTCTTTAAAATTCTCATGCTTAGTCTAAGTAGAAAAAGATGACAAATGGCACAATGCATGACACAAAATTAAATCCAGTGTGCTAAAGTAGATACATTGCCTTAAAATTATATTTATAATTTCACTGCTAAAAGAAAAGTTTAAAAGAATATTACATTTGGTTAATATTGACAGAGGCTTAAAGTCTTCTCCATCGAGTATGGTTTAAACAGCAAGCTTGATAGGGAGCAGATAATGCTATACATGTCTTCTGTAGGATTTCTTAGAGCTTCGTGAAAACACCTGAGGCTGGCCACCAACAGAGACAGGCCATGGGCTGGCACACCTGATCCCATGCAATGGTTCTGTAGTTCCTTCTGTAAAATACAAGAGGGGCTGAATAATTAGCCTGAGGAGTTAAGTGTCTTTTTGTACTTCAAGATTTAAAGCTCTCCACTGTGTATCTTTTTGTCGCGTTGCTCTTCCTGGAAGCTGCCAGTGAGTGGATAAGAATACTCAGAATAACCAGTTTGCTGTGGAGATCTTTCTCCCCAGATACAACAGTATTACATTTTATCAGAGTTGCTTTGGAGGGGCCTGTGAAAGTTCTCACTCCAGAAATCCTCTTCCAAGTGAAAGAAGGCACTGGATGGGGACCAGAACAGATAGACCGACTGTTCTGTCTCTTGTGAGAACATCTGACTTTTAATTGAATGTAACTTTGCGAAATTTGGATTTTTCTCTTTGATTTATAAACTATCATGCAGATGTGTGGTATTATTTAATAGATCAGGGCCAGAGCTCATTATCCAGTCCTTTGGTAGAAATGCACATGCTGCAGTCATGGGGTCGCTGTTGGAGTTCACTTTGTGCAGTCAGAGAGGTTTCTGCCATGAGCACTGCGTAAAAACAACTCCCCTTGAACTCATCTTGTCATTAATAGAAATAGTGACATTCTCTCTATTTAGCCAGTGGAACAAGATGTTTGACTGCGTACCCACATTGATCAAAAAGACAAAGTACATTCCCAAATGGAAAATCACCTCAGTATCAGATGACCTCTCTCTAGTTTATACCAATTGAAATGTGTGAAAGAGAAGCTACTGGTATTTTTGTAGCATATTTGGTAGTGAGGTCCCTAAAAACTATACCTACTTCTATCTAGAAAAAAAAATACAGAGATCTCAATATCCTGTTAATATTTGTATGAATTTATAGAAAGAGCATGATGGAAGATGTAAAAAATACATACTTTGTGTACACATTTGGACTAAAAGTATAATTGTTGCCCTATGAACCACTGATTTCCGTGAATGAAGGAAATGACCATTTCAATTCAATATATATATTCCAAATTCCAGTATTAAGCTTTACAAACTGATGTAATTGTTCATGTACAGAGCTTCATGGATGTTCATTACATGATAAATATTCAAATTGTTGGGAGCCTTATCCAACATACACAGAACTAATGCCAGCAGCTGCTAAATGTTATTTGGCAATATTCATTCTCATAAAGACTATTTCGTATAGGCTGTTCAGACTTCAACTGTCCTATATTCCCTTGAAAGGGAAAGGAGCTGCATTATAGAGGGCTCAGTTTCTTTTCATGCTATGGCTCTAAAAGCAGGACAGCTGAGGTTGCTTGACCATGAGATCAGTGACAACTGTAGCATAGCTGTAAGGTTGGATATTGGATATACATTCAGGGAGCTGCTAAGACCATGGAACTGTGAAATGTAGCCTCAGACTAAGGGTATTTTCTCTGCAAAGGGTGCACATCACTAAGGCTCCTTAATACTTACAAGTCTTGTATGTGGGGCTATCGTTAGAAGCAGAAAAAAAGGGAGAACTTAAAAATTAGTAGCTGTAACTACAAAAACACTCTAATCAAAGTAGCCACTTAGCACATGCCTTATTCTGACCACCTCAACATTGGAATATTATATTTATGTAATTCCTGCCATAATTCACACTGTTGAATCGTTAAACTTGTACTTTGTTATTGCCAAGCATAATTGTGAGCTGCTGGAAGCATTACTGGTTTGTAAATAAGTATTTCTTCATAGATGGATAACAGGGTCTTCTTCCATGTTAATTTGCATATCACTTATGAGAGAAATTCAAATAATGTATTTTAGAGGAAAGATAGCAAGAGGATTGCAAGTAGCAAGAATTAAATAACAGAAATAGAATTACTAAAGAACTGTTGCAGCATATTCTCCTTATGTGGCAGAGGTTTTGCAATATTTACTTTATATGATAGGAGTTATAAGTGGAATTCTGTGTTGTCTGTTCAGCCTATTATGCAGATGGTGCTTGATTAAAATCTATTTTAAACTACAGCGATTACTGCAAGATAGTGTGCATAAAACAGCTCTCCTAGCTCCATTAAAGGCTTTGGTACTATAGCAGTTTATTTTAAATATGCTTATAGACATTTTCCAGGTTCTCAAGGGACATTTAGATATCAACGATGTGCCTTACTTGATAGTTTTAAATCCTACACTAGATATTCTTGTGATCTATTAGGTGTGCAACATGGTTAATGTACACTTTTTTAAAGTGAAATATTATTGCTTTCTTATGATAAATAAGTTAAATACATCACCATAATTAAGCAATAAGCCATGACAGGAGGTGGATTACCATGAGCTAACTACACCTCCAGGGACTTTGAGGCACAAGTCTATGCCTAGCAGAATATATATGGTTTTTATTTTATTTTCCATCTGTCTCTGCTTTGGTGGTTAGAAGTGGAGTCTATGAAGCTGATAGACTGATGGGAGCATAAGGTAGACCATCATCTCAGCCATTTGCAAGGTTATTAGTACTGGAATTCTGGTATTCTTTTTATTTTGTTATTTTCATATAAGACAAACAGAATTTCCCCTGTGAGTACTCTGTTTTTAACAGTGGGTTTTTGAAGTCTCTTGATCATTAAGGTTGGAGAGTAAGTTTTTAGAGCTGTTCACAGAACAGCTTACCAGAAGGCACTTACACAAGTTTCTCTAGTATATCACCTAGTTTAAGGGTGGTTGAAGTAATGTGGTATCCTAACATACACAGAACTTTTTAATCACATTGGTTCAAAAACAAACTGAAAGGAGAAAAATGTTAGTGAATCACATGGGTAAAATTTTAGCTATAGAACTAATTATTTCAAAGTCTTCTTGCTCATGAAATTCCAGTTGCACTGGTCTTCTGAAAAGTTTAGACAAATGTTCTCAAATTAGAGCTCTAATTAGCTATACTTTAACTGCTAGTTTTGTGTATCCTGTAGAATTAAAAAATAACAAGAGACAAAAATCTGGATGATTTAATAAAAGGTAGGACAATTTTGCTTTTCCATATTTTCCAAATGCTGACAATAGGCTGCATGTCTATTAACTTTGTATTAAAGTTGCAGCTATTGTAACATAATGCTCAAAAAACAAGCAACTTCATTTTCAAGTTGTGTTCATCACTTTGTTGCTCTTTTTAGTAATCCACAGAGATTCAGATTGTTTACTGTAGTCACTTGGGTTCTATTGGACACCATATATCAAGGCATATAGGAAAATTTAAAAGTTATTTTTCTCAAAATGAGAATTTCCAGCCACTTTCCTCATGCAGTTCCAATGATTTGAACACCTGTATCCTCCTGTGCCACTTGATACGCATTATTAAAAAATAATAATAGAAGGAAGTGAAAGAAGTCATGCCTAGTAGATCCTTAGCCTAGAGCATACCATTTATGCTCTTGATCTTCTCTTCTCTTAAAAATGCTTATGATGCGCAGTGCTTTGGTCATGCCAACAAAAGAAAAAAGTCTTTGAACCCACTTGGGAGATCACACACCATTTCTACAGTTACAGTAAATTAAGTGATCATATCAAGAAAAGCTACTTTGCCATGGAGTTCCAATGTGTTGAAGAATCAGGTTATTGTCCCTTTATGTGCTTGTAAGTCATAGAATCCTAGAATAATTTAGGCTGGAAAAGACCTTTAAGATCATGAAGTCGAATTGTTAACCTCCCACTTCCAAGCTCACCACGAAACCATGTGCCCAGGAGCCCACATCTACACATCTTTTAAATGCCTTCAGGGAAAGTGACTCCACCACTTCTCTGGGCAGCCATTCCAATGCTTGACAATGTTTTTGGTGAAGAATTTTTTCCTAATAAAATTCCCCAGGGGCAACTTGAGGCCATATCTTCTCATTCTATGGCTTGTAACTTGGGTCAAGAGACCAACACTCACCTTGCTACAACCTTCTTTCAAGCAGCTATAGAGAGTGATAAGGTCTCTCCTGAGCCTTCCTTTCTCCAGGCTAAACAACCTGTTTCCTCAGCTGCTCCTCAAAAGGCTTGAGCTCCAGACCCTTCACCAGCTTCACTAGGAAAATAGGGTGCTTTGGCATTTGCACAAATGCTCATGTGCAGGGTTTTTTTCAGGTGCTGAATAAATAAGGCACATGAGCTTTCCTCCATACACCATTCCTCTTTCACTTCTTTCCTCAAACCATTTGCTTTTACGTGAGCAGATAGAAAAACTACTCAGCCAAATCCAGATAGGTCAAAACTGATCCTGTAAAGGTCTCTAAACTGTCTATACTGGTAAAAGTTTGTTTCTTCAGACTTTATTTAGAAAATGTGTTAGGGGAATGTCTGTAACTTGAATTGCTTGGTTCACAACCAGATTTTCTTCAAAGTCCCTGGAAGATATACCACCAGCTGCAGAAGAAATTGATTTGAACAGTAGTCTGGGGTCATTCTGGGGAAGGACAAGAATAAGCAAATGTAGAAATGAGAGTGTTCCTGCTGTCTGCAGATGGTTCATGTTGTTGAACTGATACTCAGGCTATAGAGAAACTAATTTCATTTGAATTTTCTCATTATTTTCTTGTTATAGCCACTAGCAATGAAACTTAGAAAAGGTCAAAAGATGTCCAGACAGACATTATTGCAATTATATGAAAGAGAAATATAAAGTGTTTAAGGGAAAAAATAGCATTATCCAAAATACTTACAGTGAATTTTATACATGCAACTTATGCAGATAGTGTCAACATTTGGATTGTCAAACATAACAACAAAAATTCCATTTCTGCATGCAAAATCCAATGTTTTTGCACCATAGAGGCTGTACCAGTGGTCCGAGTGAATTAAACTGGCTTTTTTTAATAGTACTTTCCTAATTTTATGTTACAGGTCAACGGTGGCGAGAAGAGACCTGCTTCAGATATAGGAAAGAAACCCAAAACTCCCAAAAAGAAGAAGAAGAAGGACCCAAATGAGCCACAGAAGCCCGTGTCTGCCTATGCATTATTCTTTCGAGACACTCAAGCAGCCATCAAGGGCCAAAACCCCAATGCTACTTTTGGTGAAGTCTCTAAAATTGTAGCTTCAATGTGGGACGGCTTAGGAGAAGAACAAAAACAGGTACAATGTGTGCTGTAGCTCAGGGGCTTTGTTTCAGGAAAGTGTTATCAGGGTCATTTGAGCACTGTAGGCAGCTTCTTTTGTTAGCCAGGATGAAACTTGAATATGTGCCATCTCAGGAATATGATTTAAAGAGACCGAGATAAGGAGAGTACCGTTTTATTTTATCTGTATGAAACCACTAAAAGAGTTTACCTTGTTTTGGGATGTGGCACAAGTTTTATAAAGTATTATATTTAGGAATGCTTTATGCTGAAATCTATGGGCCTAGGATTTGACAATGTCATTGCCCTGCACATGAAACTGCTGTGTAAGGGGACCTTGCTGCCAAAGCTTAGATCTGTGCAGTGGTAGCTGATATATATGTGAGCTCCCACTTGCAGATCTTTCCCTTCCCCATGATCCCATGATGCCAGGAGTGAAGCTGGGCTCACATTTGCTCCCAAACCACCTTTTATGAAAGAAGTTAGTGATGTGTTGACCCAAAGAGACCTAGGGTGGATGCTGGCAAAGGGCATCCTCTAGCATGTATGTGGGCTGTGGAAATCACTTCCCAAGGTTACTTCTGTCTTCCATGGAAGGCCTTGGTTCTGCAATGAGACCAGTAGAGCTGGACCTGAAACGTTGCAGAAATAATTCCAAGTCAGTCAAAGCTGTGTAAAAGCGGGCAACTCTGGAAGCTCATCACATTGAAGTGGTGGCAGCTGGCAAATACCACGGATCCTCACTGTAGCATACCATTGCTCTTCTATTGTTATTGGTTGCATTTTTACTAACTGCCAGCAGAATGGATTGGATTGATAAAGGAATGGGAACTTTAAGAAGGCAACAGATATAAAAGGAAATGATGTGCTGGGTGAGAGTTATATTGGCTACAGGAGACCTGGACTGGGGTTGATGTTAGCACAGAGTGGAAAAGTACTGGGAATGAACTGAATCTCCTTCATTCATACACTGTTATTACAAAATTACAGTTAAAAACTAAGAATTTATGAAAACTTCTTAATGATTTATTGGTATGCAAAGCTATTTGGTCTTGGAAAAGAAAAAAAAAAAAAAAAAGAAGGGTTACTTTGCTAATAACTGGGTGGTGTAGGTACATCTACATCCTTGCTAAATATACCAGTGTGAAAGGAATTGAGATTTGGCACTCATTGAGTAAATAAATTTAAAAAAAACCAAAAAAACAAAACAAAAAAAAAAACCAAACCTGTTGTTATCTAGTATCCACCAATGAATAAGGCCAGTGTTTGGAAGGTTTAGCTGGAAGAGAGGTAACTTTCTGAACACAAGGAACAGAAAAGTCACTTTGACTGGCACATTAGCATTATTTTCTTGTGTTGTGTTGTGTCTTTCTTTTCCCTTTTTTAATATGCCCAGCAAAGGCCAAAGACTGTAAAATGTACATTTCCTTCAAGCTTGTCATGTGAGTAGTACCACCAAAGTATTAAAGCTCCTCCATAGAAATGTGTAAGAAAAGTTCATGAAACCCTAAATTTCCAGCTTAACTTCAATTTCCTATTCATGGTTGAGAGCAAAATTTGAATAAGTCCTATGCTGTAAGAACAGAACAAAATTTATTTTCCTTGTCTCTGTTGTTAATTTAAGTTGAAACACAAATGAATGATGCATTGTGGAATCCATATGACACATGCATGTAAAAATGGCTGCAACTATGTTTTTTAAACCAATTATTTAAAGAGTTGGGTTAGCATGTCTTCATTGCTTTTTGACTCATTTTGCCTATTCATTATCATCTATTAAGCACATTTTTAAAATTCCAGGCCCAAGCCCTTTCTAATCTAGCACTGTACAAAAATAATAAAAGATAGTCCCCATTTAAAAAAAATAAAATTGGCAATCCTATTTTCTACAATAAATTTAACTAATTTTTTTCCATTAGGGATCTAATAGTACAAAGTAATGATTACAAGACATCTTAACTGACTAGATAGTCTGTATTTTAAAGGCCTAATTTTTCAGATCCAGAGCATTAGTAACTGTTATGAAATCTATGTATCTGGTAGGAAAATTGGACTCTAAAAATAAAAATTATTAATGTAGCATTTGGTATTTGGCATTGAAGAAGCTTCAGAAACTCAAAAATAGTTAAATAAAGAAACAATACATCATTAGAGGACAACTTTATTGATGAATTATACTTGCTGAAAAGGATTCAATTATCATAAAGCTTCTGGCTTATGTTTTGGAAGCTAATGCTTATTCTGGAATTTAAATAGAAATATATTTCCAAATTATGTTTCCTGAATTGGAACTCCTTTTCCTATTTAAATAGTAAATATAAATTAATCAGAAAGTAGAACATAATGCAGCTATTAAAAAAGAAGAATAGCCTCATGTTTTCATGCTAAAATGAAATCTTCTTTGTTGCTGTGATCTGAGCCATTTTTTTCTGAAATGCAAAGAATTCTTCTTGTTTATTCCTGAAGATTGACCACAGAATAAATGAAAGTATAGAAACTCAGTACAAAAATGACCTAAGGGCAATATATGTATGCCCAAGACTTTGCAACAAAATTTTGATAACCTGGCATATTGAAAAGCTTTGTGCAATAACCACATATGTTTTTCAAACTGTGAAGAACTAGGAAAGTGTTTTTGATAAAATAGGATTTGAATGACAAAAAAGGAAATGGGGTTATGAACTAACTGATGGTGGGTGCCTTACTGAAGTTAGGGGAAGGTTATGCTTAAAATGGATTGCACTCTGATACTCTTACAATGAGAATAATGCAATTCATTAGACTAAAGCAGATACCAGTGTACTTTCCTCTCATTTTAGCATATGAAGATATTTGCATTTTTGAATCATACGTTCCCATTCATTTCTGTGTGTGAAAAGCCCATTTGCAAACAATGCTGGTGTGTGCCTGTATTCTGTTTGTCCAAATCTATCTACACAGAATCTAGAAGTTACAGGGAATTTAGTGGTCATGGTGGACTTTGTCATGGACTTCTCAAATTCTGGATAGAGTACAACAATTATACATGATCAGAAGCAGGCACTGTACTTTTTCCTTCATTTTTCACTGTAAATGCTTTCTAAAATTGTTCGGATCAATAAATCTGTGAACAGTAGGCCACAGCTGTAGCAGTAGTGTGTTGATACATTCTCCTCAATGCTATAGTGATAGCACTGGGATATTTTTTTTCAGAGACTTTTCCAGTTCCTCTCTTATGATCACAAACACTGTTTTCTAATTTAGTGCTATACTTCTATGCATCCCATTTCTATAGCTTATCTATGTACATCTTTGCCTTTTGCACACTTTTTTACTGCAAAGGGGAGATAAACAGCCCCTAGGAAAAAGGGATCAGCATGCTAAATGGTTGAGTCACTGGCTTTCAGACAGAACACTGGTTTAAACTGGGTAAAAAGGCTATTTAGGTCATTTTCTGTCCTTAGATGAAAAAGGAAAGTAATTTTAAATCAGTACCAGATGTGCATGTACTAAATGAACCTTAAGTTTCTAATTGGAGTCCTAGTAAAGCTGTAATAGATGTGGCAAATTACAAACAAAATGTTCTTGTTTACATTAGTGTAACTTTAAAACTTCAGCCAAAGACCTTAATAAATGTTCTGTTATTCTAAAAATGGAATTGAATGTCTATTCAACATTCAACAAAATTAATCTCTGGTGTTACTTCAGTGACTTAACTGGAATTCTAGTAGGAATTAATTTGGCCTCCTATGAACAGCTCAGTGTGCATACTTGTGTGTGTGTATGTGTTCCTGTGTGTTTGCTTCAACTGTGCACTGGTCCTACAGGTGGGAGAAGGAGGGATTCACCTCAGGCACCCAAAACTTAGCAATCAGAAGAAGCAGGTGAAGTGACTGAGTGCTCTGACAGATGCTTTCTTTCAGGCTGCATAATTCATAGACAGTAATATTAGCTGCAACAGTTCAGCTCAATATCAACACCTCATTATTTTATCCCTCAGTATTTATTCCTATGGTTGACGCCTCATGAAATTACTGTTAATGTGTTTATATAAGGGCAGATCTGACACAAGTGGGAAGAATTTAATTTCCCACTCATTCTTTCCTGCTGATGTGTCCTCTTCCCCTGGTAGAAGTGGCAAGTGTAAATAGTTAATTTGCTTCAATTATGAGCCTGTCCTGCTAAATTAGAAGCAGCAGGAATATGAAGAGCCAGAATTATACATATGAGGCAGCTGACAAATCCTCCGAGCTCACAAAATCAAATCATTTACTCCTCATTGGTGCTCAAAGACCCACTAGATAAAAGCTGCAGTTTATTCTTTAATATCTGGTGGAACTTGGATTGTATGTTACCAATACTTATGTAAAACTAAGTCCCTGTGCATTAGTGTCAATGTTTGTAATCCTGTTACCATTTTCCCTATAACCTCCAAGCTTTCAGGGGTTTCTATTTTGTCAATAAAAGAACCCAGACTGATTTGAGCATGAAAAAAAACAAAGCATGTTTTATAAGTTTTTCTTTTGACCACAGGGATGTTTTAGACTTAGCCGCACATTATCCACTGCTGGGATGAACCAGGTAGATCAGGAGGGGATTTACAAGCAGTGCTGGCCAGCACCTCATATCACCACAGCTTCTCTCATGATGTGAGACACCACAAGTCAGATCAAAGTGGATCCAAGTTCAGTGTTTCAAGAGGTCTTGACTCCGCCTGTCTTTTAGGAGCACCCAATCTAGATCCTCCCTCCCAGGGTGCGATGGCATCCCATCCCTTGACATGACAAATGAGATCATCTGCCCCATGGCTGGAAGAGCCGTCGTGTCCCCATAGCATTGCCATGCATGTGGGGTGCCTGGTGTCAGGATGTCAGACAGTTCAGGGGACTGGCTGCTGAAACAGCTTCAGAAGATGTGCAGACCATGAGGTCAAAGTAATCAGTAGAATTTTTAAAACAAATTTTCAATTTCTCTCCTTATACATGCTGATGTACTCACACAGACATTTGTTTATCTATCTCTTATTCTCCCTTTAGA